TTGATGAAATACTCACAAATTGTTCGCACCAAACATCCTTTATCAAATAGATATTATTCCAATTAACATAAACAAATACATGAATATAATTAGCACATAAAAGAAAACTGTTAAGAAAAAAAAATTAGAAAACAATGCGTTTCATGTGTTACTCACATCAAAACAAGAAAACATTCACGATCAAGCAAAGAACACAAGAGATCGAACAACTGCATGATGCGTACAAAAAAGAAAAAAGAAGAACATTTATATTTTAGCGTGTGCACCATCATAATTAGAACATCGATAGACTAATTGATAGTCATAAAGCAGAATATTCAGAATAAATAGTGGGAAGCTCAATAAAGATGAAAAACACAAAAAGAAAGAAAGAAGCAGATGTATCTGATAAAGACTGAGAAAAAAAGAATTCAGAAAACACTCGGTTATAGATATATAAAATTTATGCATTACGTTTTATACTTTCTCTAGCAGCGTTTATTAATGGTACAAGACTTTGTAATGGTTTTGCCATTTTTAAAAATGGATGCTAAAAAAACATAAAAACTAATTTTTTTTCTGTTTTATATAAAAAAAGAAAAAATACTAACTTGAAGGAGTTGAGATGCAGTAGAACGTTTATCTACATCAACTTCAAGACATTGATCAAGAAAATTTTCAAATAATGATGATAGTTTTTCTCGACCTGCTATCTCTGGTTTTCCGTTCGTAGCAATTAAATAAAGAGCCTAAGATTAGTTTTAGAAAATAAAAAAAAAAAAATTATTTTATTTAAATTTCATTTAATATTAACTCACTCTTAATGGACTTTCATTAAGATATGGCGGTTCTCCTATAGAAATTATATCAATTAGAATAGTAAAAATAATCAATCTAATGAAATATTTACCTTCAATCATTTCGATAGCCATGATACCTAAACTCCCTATAATAAAAGAAAACATTTTTATTGTTTTTATTTAACTATCATTTTTCTATACATACAAATATCAACTTTTGGTCCATACTGTTTTCTTGTGACTACTTCTGGTGCCATCCTATACAGAAAATATTCATTAATTAAATTTTGTTTTATTCTTTAATAAATCGTACCAATAAGGTGTTCCGACCATTGTTTGGCGTTTCGTTTGATCTTGTGTAATTTGTGCACAAAATCCAAAATCAGTTAATTCTATAATATAAAATAATAATGTTCATAAATAATAATTCTCATGAGAATAAATAAAAACAGAAAATCGAATACATACTGACATTTCCTTCATTTCCCAAGAGAATATTATCACTTTTAATATCTCGATGTATAACATGATTTTTATGAAGAAATTCTAAAGCTTGTAAAACTTCACGACAAACAGCTGCTATATGTCCTTCTTCCATAATAGTTTCTGTTACAACATCAGTTAGTGATCCTCCAGGAAGATATTCCATAACAACCTAAGACAGACGAAGAAAAATAGGAATTATTAAAAAATAATTTTTTTTTACCATAGTGAAAAAAAAAGTCTTCTACCTACCAAATCTCAACTACCGTAAGAACTAGAAGTCTGAAAATTTGTGTGCACATAGATCAGAGCTAATAGTATCCTCCGGTTACTTAAATATAACGGAAATGATGATGAATAGAACTTATTTTTCCTTTGAACTTTATACTTATGAAAATCCAGCTATCAACACTTTAATTTCATCGAAGCTCATAAACCTTTACTAGAATGGTGAAGAATTTTATTGTCACTCTTGTTGAAAAACTCCCAAATGCTCTTTGTAGATCATAAATTAGTAATATTTCAAGGAATTGAGCTTAAAATTTTAGGAAAACATTGCCTGTCATTGAATAAGATTCAAAAACATCGATAGACTACCTGCCATTCATTATAATTCTCATTGGATTCAAACTACCGGGAGAAACTTCATGTCTTTAACTTATATTTTTCGAGAAGCTAAAATGTACTGATAAGAGTAGGGGACTTTTGTCAACTACTATAAATATTTTGTTTACCCAAAGTTCTTCATCAACTAAATATGAATCTTTATAATTAACAATATTAATATGACGATTATGTTTCATAACAGCTATTTCATTAATAATTAATTCTTTTTTTGGTTGATTAGCTAAATTCATTTGTTTAATAGCAACTTCTTCACCAGTTGCTAATTCATATGCTAATAGTACTGTTCCACTTGCTCTGTCACAAAAAAAAAGACAAAAACATGAATAAGAATATTTCTGTATTAGAAAAAAAAAAGATAATATACCCTTGTCCAATTTTATCTTTACTCTTATATTTTTTATGCGGATCACCATGTGAAACAATTAATCGTAATTTGGCATAAATTTCTTCATCACTTAATTGTTTACGTTTTAATTTATCAGTATCTGTTGGTAAAGATGAATTTGATTTACTACTATCATCATCAATTGGTCTTGTATACTAGATAGAATGAAAAAAAATTCACTGTGATTTATTCAATAAAATACAAGCAATGTTTCTAGAAGTTCTGAAACGATTTTAATATTCATAAACAGCAACGCTTTTAATAATTTTGACAGATTATTGTATCTATTTAGCACTAAATATTTATCAAGTTTCAATTCAATTTTTATTATACATAAGAAACTTTAACTAAAACATCGTGAACGTTTCGCAATAAAGAGAAAAGGCACATATAAATTTGTCAATATTCTTGTATTTCATTATCACCATTTTTATGTTTTATTAGATTTAATCGTACTGGTATTTATCAATTATTGTTTGACATGAAAAATTACTAAATCTACTCTATTCTAATGTCATCTATCAATCGTTCAATACTATTGTATTCTCGGTCACATAATTTCTCTTTCAATATACTCCAGATGTATTTCTCTAGGTAAAATCACGACAAAAACAAAACATATTTCTATTGGCATGTGCTTTCTAAACATATCCTAGAAACAATACATTGTTCTAACATTGTTCTATTACCGCTTATGAACTTAAATAGTTAGTACGAAATAGATACAATAATTTGACACGGTATAAAAAAAAAACTTTGTTTTTGTTAAAAAAAAAAAAATTAAAGAACGATGAATTTTAAAAACATTTTAGAACTTCTGAAATATGTATTATATTGACATACAACGCTTTTAGTTTTTTCTGGTCTCGCAGCAATCGGTGGTGGTATTTCCTCATTATCATGACGATTTCGAGTTCCATTTGTTATTGGTTCTTGTGACTATAAAACGAAAAAAAAAACAAAGATATATCGATGTTTTTTATTTTTCATTCTACTAAAAAAATGTTCGTTGTTTTGCTTTTACCGATGTTGATTTGTCAGAAACAAGAATGACTGTTTGACGAAATTTATCAGCTAAATCACCGGATATCGGTGGTGTTAAATCTTAGAAATAAAGCAAAAAAAAAAAAATAAATTTTATATTTAATTAATAAAAAGAAATTTTTACTTTTACAACTTGAATACATAAATTTTGATTCTCTTTTATGTGCAGAATGTTGATAAAAATCTAATGCATCGATAACAGCTTGTGGATTTTGTTTTTGTTCTTGTTTAGTTATTTTAGAACTTTGTAATAAACTTGACCATAATTCAGGCATACCATCAAATTCACCTGTTGATGGATTATATGTTACATGTATAGGATGATTAAAATTTGTTGGACGTGATATTGTTAATTTTGATGGATCCTTTTTTGACCATTCTATAATATTTTTTAGAATTTTATAAAGAAAAGTAAGATTTTGTTTTCTAACCTTTACTAGCTGCTTTTTTCTTTTTATTTGATTCTTCATCTGGTAGACGAGGTAAAGGTTTCATTTCGAGATTTGATGTCGAACTAAAGAAAAAAAAAGAATCATAATAATAATAATTCAATATTAAATATAATTTTATGAATAAATGTTGATTTACCCTGTGATAGAATCAACGCGTACAGGCGGCAGTGGTGGCCGCTGTTCGTCCATCATTAATATCTGAAAATATATTCATAGAAAATCTTTATTCAAAACAATATAAAATGATCTCGTAAACAAGACAAGCATCCATCAATCAATAGTTTTAGTCATACTATTATTGAAATGTACATTTAACAAAAGACATCATTTAGAAGGATCAATACAGATTTTTTCATTTGTTTATTCATATAACCAATCAATCACAGGTTCGATTTTTATATATCATATATATTATGTCATGTATATTGAATGATAAATGATCAATGAAGAATATATTTCGTAAAGGAATAAAAGAATATTTAGAAAGAAAAAGATTCATGACTGAATTTTTCAATCAAATTTTTGAACAAGAATTTCAATATAATATTTGACTTCTAGAGTTGATAATTTCTTGAAAATGATAGGTAAAAATTAATTTTAAAATAATCTTTTAAGATACTTAAAAAATTGTAATTTATTATTTATTATAAATAAAAAAAAATAGAAAACAATAAAAGTAAGTGTCAATAAGATGAATAAAATTGATTATTAATGATTTAAGTAGAAGTGACATCTGTTTTGAGTCGCTATTGTGTATGACAAATGTCTTGTTTTACTACTATACTTATCGTAAACATTGGATGGTCTGGCAACTACTTCCTTTTTTTGTTTTTGATGATTTAACTTATTTTTATTTCCTTCATTGACAATGTTTCGAGTTATTCTTAGTCAGAAGGAAAAGAACTCAATGAATCACATACTTCTTCTCATTTCCAGACTTCGATGTTTTCCACACAATCAAGTATGTTATTTAATTAGTAATTATTCTAAACAGAACATTTATCTTAACTTTCATCAGCACTGATATAAATCATATAAATCATTTTTTTACTTATACTTTCATCGATGCAGTCAGAAAAAAAGCCTCCAAAAAAAAAACGAAAAAAAAATCGATATGCTTCATTAGTTTTTCGTTGCCTCATTGTCGCAATATCTTTTTTTCATTATTTATTCACAGTTTCTGCTGATTCCTTATCAGTGTGAATTTATTTCGACGACCTTTTCATTTCTATGCAACGAATATCTGTAAGAAGACAACAACTAGATAATCAAAATAGCAAACGATGGTCGACATCGCTAATTGATAATAATGATCAAGAAGAACAAATATCATGTCAATCACCATGTTTAACATTACTTACTAATAAACTTGGAATACCACAAGAGAAAGCGTTTGTTAACAGATTTCTTTAGAATATTTTTTCTTGTAATTCTATTATTTTTATTTAGAGAACGAGCATGTGTAGCAACTGGTTTTCGTTCAGTACAAGCTGCTACTGATTGGTAAGAGGTAAACAATGAAAAAGAACAAAACTCAATTTTATCATTCTTTTTTTTTTCTTTTAAATATTAGGCTTCTTCAAAGAAAAGATGATGATAGATTAATTCAAACTGAATTTATTATTGTTCTTTGTCCTGATGAACATCTTAATGAACAAATTCGAACATTTACTGGTGAAATATTTCGTTATCTTGCCCAAGGATCTTTATTAAACGATCGTCAATATTTACGTGCTTTTAAGTTATCTAGTTTTTTTCATGTAAATATTCTCGAAATAGCTATCAATTAACAAATAGTTTGTCGTATATTTTAATTAGGTACCTGACCGACATGTTTATACATTACATAAAGTATTTGATTCTGTTATTGAACAATATCATAAATTAGTTAAACAATTATTACATGTTGTTTTATATACAACAAATGATTATCTTATGCTTATGCCTGATATTGAAAGTAAAAAAGTTGTTCAAACTATTTTTGATATGATTAAAAAAGAATTTGAATTGATAGGTTTGTTTAAAAATAAAAATGAATTTTTTTTTTTTTTTGAATAATATTTTATTTTTATTTATTTTTAGTACCAAATGTTTCCATAATGCCAGCAAAAAAAGTAACTCATTTAACTCTTACTCATGGTTTATCATCTTTATTTAATCTTTCAATTGATCAACGAACATCATTAATACAACTTGCACAACTTTGTATTGAATTAGATCGTCCTATTAATTGGAATCTTCGATTATATTCGCGTGAAAGGTCTTCTATGAATGAAGTTTGTTCTTTTTTTATTCTATTTTTCTTTACAGAATAAAATAAAAAAATATTTTTCTTTTTCTTTTTTCTTTGTGCTTTAGATTGTATATCGTGTTGCTTCATCAACAAAAGATACAACTATTAACAAATGTCTTTTATTAAAAGCAAATGATCTGTTTATGGTACTTGATAATGGTCGAATAGGCGAACAAGAAAATGTCTTTGGTGAGTAAGCTTTAATTAAGTTGTCTTTTGTCTTCTTTCCTGTTATATAGCTTTGCTTCTCGCTCTTTCGCTTTCTTCTCTATCATCTATCAAGAGAAAGAATAAGAATATTTCATCATGCATCTATGTGTTTGTGTGGCCTTTGAGAGACTCTTCTCTTTCTCTCTTACATGCGCATAAAATGTTCTTCGTTTCTCTAACAACGCGCAAGGCACAAGACACAGTCACCTTCGATGCTTCTTTACTAGATGTGCGTGCAACATACACGAGAGAACGAAGAGAGAGAGAGAGGGAGAGAGAGAAAAGCAAACGACGCACACACAAGCTGCATCATAGCACAACAAGCGAATAGTAATAGTAGTAGTCGTAAGAGTAGTAGTTGGAGTAGAGTACTGCTAGTAGCGTCGGCTCATTCTTTCTTTCTTGCTTTTGAGTGAAGCGCGGGTGAGTGTCGCATCGGCAATATTGAGGTTGTGTGTTTCAAGATAGAAGAAGAAGACGAGTTCTAGATAATGTTGGATATGCTTGCGCGAGAGTCGACAACGAGTTCAGCAACAACGAATGGATCTTCAACATCAAAACCAGTTCGACGTTTTCATCAACGTGCATTAATTTGGGACTTGGAAGAGACACGTGCTTTATTAGATTTACTTAAAGATGAACGAATATTTAAAGCTATTGAAAGTGTTCGAACACGTGAAATCTATCATGAAATTGCTGAACGTCTTAAACAAGCTGGTTTTAATCGTGATTGGAATCAAATACGTGGCCGTGTCAAAAATTTAAAATTTTCATATAAAAAAGCTCGTGCTCAACACGAAGAACAAGGACAATCAACATTAACTTGTCGTTTCTATGATGATCTTCATTATTTATTTGGTCATAAATATAAAAGACAACGAAGTAAAAAACGTTCACTACAACAACAACAACAATATCAGCACAAATTACAAACTAATTTAAAAACAGAGAATGAAGAAGGAGAAATTGTTTCGAATATAAATAATAATGATCCCGATGATATTACTGATGATGATGAAGAGGTAAGAGAATTTTTTTTGCATTTAAGTAAAGAAATAATTTTTTTTGTTTTCCTCCAGTCGATGAATGACGATGATGAACAACAAAATTATCTTGATGATGTTTCACCTGATTATATTCAACGACCAGAAGATCCATATCCAATACTTCAATCAACTCGAACAAATTCAAATATAATTTCAAATGAAGATACAAATCATACAACAATTGAAACAAATGAAGAACAAGAACAATTAACAACAGATGAAATGGATGTTTATATTAAATCTATGTCACCATATAAACATCAAGCTTATCTTATTGATGATGTTCTTCAATCAATTTTTAATAAATTTCTTCTTGCACAACAACAATCTGAACAACGTTTTATATCATTTATTAATGAACAAAGACGTAATGATCAAGAACGTGAAGAAAGAATTCATCGAGAACAACGACAACATCAATTAGAACTTATACAACTTATTATCAATCAAGGTAGACTAAAGCAATTCTACCAAATCAATAACATAGTCATCCATTTAAGACAAATCGCTTTGATTATTCATTATTATTGTTGTCTAGGAGATTTTCTTTTTGAAGAAATTTCTATTTATATTAAATAGATAAATATTTGACTTATATTTCTTTTTAGGTCGTTCTCATACAACAGGTGAAGAAGGTATTTATCCATTAAAAAATTTAAGAAAAACATCTGAAACAGATGCATGGACTTTACAAAAGTAAATTAATTAGGATCTACATTTCAACGGATATGTTCTTTTTTATTTTCCTATATTAAAGATCAGCATCATTAATAAATGAAAATTCTTCAACAAATCCAATGGATCTTTCAGAAATTAATACGTCATCGTCAAATGATGAAAAAACTTCTAATAAATTAACTGAAGTTCGAAATTTTACAAGAAAACCAAATATAATACCACGATTACATACTACAGTAAATTTTTATTCTACATTTTAATTTCAGGTTTGTTTTTTACAAAGAATTTTTTTTTAGAATAGTCGATTAGATGTATTATCACCAACATCAAATCCAGGTTTAATTCGTCTATTTTGTATTCGTCATGGTGAACGAGTTGATTTTGCATTTGGTCCATCTTGGCCCGAATTAGCATTTGATAAAGCTGGTATTGTCATTTACTTTTGTTTTGTTTATTTAAAATAAATTTATTTAAATTTGAAAGGAAATTATCATCGAATAAATTTAAATATGCCATTATCTTTACCACGTCGTCGTAATCCATTTCGTGATTTTATTGCTGATTCTCCTATTACTGAAATTGGTACAAGTCAAGCTCGATTAACTGGTGAAGCATTAGCTGCAAATGATTCTCTTGCACAATATTGTTATTCATCACCATCACTTCGATGTATTCAAACAGCACATTATATTCTTCAAGGTAATTTTTCATATTAAATGAAGCAAAAACAAAATATAAAAGACTGATAAATTAATTTTAGGTATGGGAGTTGAAGATCGAGTAAAAATTCGTGTTGAACCTGGTTTATTTGAATTTTTGGGTTGGTATGAGCGTGGTTTGCCATCATTTTTTAATCCATCTGATATGAGTATTAATGACGAAGAAGAAAGCAATTTATTTAACATTGATAAAAATTATCGACCAATTATTTCATTAGAAAAATTATCTCGAGATGAAAAATATACTGATTATTATAATCGGTCATTTAAAGTTACACAACAAATAACTGATAAACATAAATTGACTGGTAAAGAGAGACGAAAAAAAAAATTAAAATTTAGTTTTTCTTAAAGACTATATTTTATTTAAGGTGCTAATATATTTTTTGTTGGTCATGCCGCAACACTGGAAGTTTGCACACGTCAATTATGTTCATTTCCACCTCGTTCTTATTCAGATTTTAATAGTGTTATTAGAAAAGTTTCGTATTTAGGTTTACAACTATGTGAAAGAAATCCATCCGATGGACAATGGACATTGAAAACACCACCTATACCGTCATTACAACATGCAAATAACGTTTCATATGATTGGCAAACAATGAAATAAACGTTTTCTTTTTCTTGTTATGCTTTGTAATTGATCGCAGTGTTCTTTTTTTTTTTTGTCTGTTGTTTTTTACTTGATATTTTTTACAGAATAAATGAGAACAGTGACTTTTGTTTAATAAATTTTAGATCGAATGCTTCAAAAAAAATTGGAAGATTGTAATTCATCAATAGATCCAATTCATTCGCAATTAATTGATGACAAATCGAATAAATCGCAAAGAATTGAACAACATTATGGTAAGTTGTTGTATCTTTTTAGTTGAATTCCTGTTTTTATTTTGTTTCTCTTATGCTAGCTATTAATGATGAAAATACTGAAGTTTTAATTAATTCGGATAATGAAGAAGAATTTAGTTCAAGCGAACTTAGTGACGATGAAGAAGAAGAAGAAGAAGAAGAAAATATGTCTAGTGAAAATAGTTTTCAAAAAGGTAAAATAATATTTAAAAAAAAGAAAATTTTAATTAATATCATTCAAGCATTGAATCAATGTAATTGTCCAATTAATTTACATAATTTATTGAATACAACTCAGTATGTTTAAACTGTTGTGAGCACTTTCTTTTATAGTAAAATCCTTTTTTCTTGTGGTTTTAGAAATGTTAGTGTCACTTTTAATCAACCAGAAAGTCTTGTAGAGGTGATTCAAATGAATAATGATCACATGATTGCACAAGCAATGGCTGTTCTTGCTGCTAAATATCGGTATGTAATCAGGAATATTCTAGAAACTACTCTGAGACGAGGAATACAGTAGACTATAAATTTCTAAAGATTTTATGTAACTTTGAAAGACTTTAGCGAACTTCAATATATATTAGAAGTTATAGCTCAAAGACTTAAAAAGGCTTCTTATAATTACGTGAGACTCTATGGGACTTCGAGATTGAAGTTTCTGCTGTTTCTCCTTTGCAATTATTCTATGACGAATTTACATCAATATTAAACCAGATCGAGTTTGATTTTCTTCTGTTTAAAAGAATAAATATTAAAAGGGTCATCATACTCGTTTGAAGTCCAATGAATTACCTAGAAGTATTTAAATAATATAACAAACGGAATATGAATTTAATAAAAACTGTAAAAGTTAACTTTTCATGAAAAACTTCTTTTTTGCTACTACGAAAATTTCTGTAAAACCTATTAAAAAGAGCGTCCTGTCAGCACTAGTGATAAAGTTAATTTGATTACATTCGATTAAAAAAAAATACGAATTGATTGTATCTTTGCTTAATACATCAAAAATCAAATTCAGAAATCATAACTCATCCTCATAGAGTATCGTTGAAACTTTGCTCTTAGAATCAGAAAAAAAAACTTCAAGTCAATTTCATATTTTGATACTAAGAAATTAATTCTGACATTTATGTAAAAAACACAACATATATATGACTTGCAAGAAATGTTTTGAAAAACTTATTGACTTCAAAGTTTATCTTGAACAAATTTTAGATGACAGTGAATTTATAAGAATAAGACAAATAACTAAACTCATTCAAAATTGTCTTTGCATCTTTTATTTCAATCGTTTTTCAAGACATTTTTTATTTGACTGTAAAATAAAATAACTTCTTTCCTTTTATAAAATCATATTTTGAAGAATACTTAACGAAAACGAGGTAAAATCTATCTATTCCCATCGATTTAAGACACAACAGTAATTATAGCAAAAAAGCCTATTTAATAAAAATAGTCGATGATGATTGTACATAAATCAAAAAGAAAAAGAAAATTTTCTGCTGATCAAGAACACATAAAAACCGTGTCCGTCATTTGTTTGTAGTACATGTTATTTTTCAATTAAAAAGCAAAATGATTCATTATTATATGAATATAATATGTATTTTTTGGTTTTTATTTTGATAGACCTACAAAACCTTTTGATTCTCCTGTAAGTTCTTGTTTAATTCCTAATTTATAAACATTGATTTTATTTGGTTCTTTGAAGCCAACTGAAAGTGAAATTCTATCTTTTGTTGGTCCATGTCCATTATATTCTTTGGCATCTTCATTTGGTCTTGATATGCATCATGGTCTTTCTCATTTTCCTTGTCGAGATATATTTGTTGGTGGTCGAGGTCATATTTCAACTCGTCCACTTTGGCAACATTTAACATCATCTCATAATTTAAATCTTTCATCATCATCTCTTCTTATATCTCATATTCTTCTTCATGATTATTCATTACCAAGTCCAATATTATTTAATTCACATAATACAAAAAATATTCTTCGTACAACACCACGTTATTCATTAATCAAAAAATGTCCTTTAACTACTTATGGTGTTTATGGTATTCGATATGAACATGGTACACGTTTGTGTTCTGGTTATACATATAATACGAATATTTATTTACATTTAATATCATTTCATAAGATGACACATAATGCATCATTATGTTTATCACGTGCTATTGCATTTAATGATAAACAATTTAAATTTGAATGCAATGAAATGATTGTTAATGAATCTATAAAATGTCCTTTATTGAAATCATGTCAAATAAAAAAAACTCCTCGATTAATTCATCATCAATGTCATCTATTTAAAAAATTTATTAAAAAAAAACCGGTGAAAAATATTTTAAAATAATTTTGATATTTTCATTTGTCAGATAGACTATATGAATGACATTGTCTTTCTATTAATTAACTGTGATTATCATCGAAATTTGTTCTTTTATTTTTTGTTTTTGTTTTATTTATTTGTTTTAAACACGAAAAAGTTATTTTTGTTTTTCAAAAAAGAAAAAATAATAATAAAAAAAATCAAAATTATCACAATTTATGCATAAAATTATTCTTAAAAAATTTAATACGTATTTTAAATGTCAATTTTCTTTTTCAAATTTTGTATTTTCAATCGTTACTGGTGTATCTTATTAATTTTTTTTGCTCGTCGTATCTCATAGAGGATGTGTAATGAAACTTTGTTGAAACTTGACTATATCACATATCACTATTCACAGATAAAACAGTGCAACAACTCATTGGTCCTATATCGGTATGGATTTCACATCGATCCTTCGACTTGATCCGATTAGGTCTACTTAGATCAGGACCGATATCGGTCGTGAAACACGCATACCGGTTCCATCTATGAATTGTTCTTTATGTTGAAATAAGATATAGTTAATGGTCTTCTTTAGTCGATGCACTCAATAAAATCGATCATGTTCATACTATTAATCAGTTTACAAATAGCATCAGAACTATCTAAAAGTAGTTTTATTGAAAGAAAAAAAACGTGTTCGTGTCAGATTAAAAAAAGTTTCCTGTATTAAGTGTTTATTTTTAGAATATGAGAGAAAAAGAAATGCATGACTCTATTCTCGACAAGATTTACGAGATATACTTTTCTAAAAATAACAACAATAACCGACATTTTAATGAAATTTGAAAGGATGAAATAAGTTATTTTGAAAAAATATCCTTCAGTTAATTTCGAATTCCTAAGAAGAAATAAAAATGAACAAGAAAAGTATTAACCTTTTGGGCTACGGAAGTATCATATATGATACCTGATTGTTAGCAGTTGATATTTGTGCAAGCGACTAGCTCGTCTATTATCTCTCTTGCTCTGTCTATTGTCGTTACCATCTTCTATGTGATTGTTTCAAAGATTTTCATACGCTATAAAACTTTTGAGAAGATAAATATCTGTTTTAATATTTGAAATATTCTCGTAAAATTCTATCAGAAAAATTAAATCTCTAGCCAAAGGGTTAATTGTTCTTTGGATTTAGCAAAAAGTCTTCTTAGTAGAGTTGAAAAGAAAAGCATTGTATATTATTATTTAGATTTATCTTCTTTCTAATAATCCTATGGCATGTCATCAAAATCGTATTAAGCTTTATTTTACATTTTTTTTCTTCAATATGGAGGATTTCGTATGAAATAAACTAGTTAATCATAAGCATGAACTGCTATCGCTGTCTCTCAACAGGATTATTGTAATAAAAAAAAACAGTATAATGAACTACTGTATATATATATGTACTATTTTAATTGCAAGAAGTTGCCATCTGTTGCTTTTATTAAAAATTCTATAGTTAATATTTGAAAGAAGCAGAAAACTTTTTAAAAATTTTCTCAATGTTTTCTCGTATATGGATGTCGAGCAAGCCATGAAGGACCTACTCTATCTTTTGGATCAAGAACGAGCGTATGTCGAAGTATATCGACAAGATCAGGATCTCGATATTTATGTTGATTTTTAGGTGGATGATGGCATGGAGGTTTATAATCAGGTGGTACGCGATAAGTCATACGATAAAGAACAGCACCCCATGACCAAACATCTGATTTTGATGTATTCAATGCCACATGATGATTTGGAACCAGTCTTACTTCAGGTGCCGAATATAACCAGGTACCATTACTTCCAACCCTACAAATAATCGCAAAGTCTTAATTTCTATACCTCAAGAAATATGCATTTATCCTAGATTAGATTCTCTTATAAAATTTAAAAAAAAAATATAAAAGATTTTAACCTATGTTGGTGTGCTTTTTGAGCGATACCAAGGTCAACTAATTTGATTATATTACCAGGAAACACAATAAGATTTTGAGGCTTAATGTCAAGATGTACCTGTAACAAAAAAACCACATGAAAATGTTAAAGAGATAAAAACGCAATAGTTGTTAAATTACAATATTATTCTCATGAAGAACAAGAGCGATTTTAACTAATTGTCGCCATATTTGTTTTCTTGTCTCAGGTGAGAGACGAGGTTGTGATTTTAGTTCTGCTTCTAAATCATGTTCGCCAAGTTCCATAATAAGAAAAGCAAGACCTGTTTGATTGTGAAAGTCAAAATCATACAAGTGCACTATATGTTTGGATGCTCGTAACAAACGATGCATCATTGAAATTTCGGTAAGAATTGATTCAACGAGCGCTTCTGTTTCTCCACTTTTCAGCTTGGCAAGTGTAACCACTTTGATAGCTACCGGTTTATCTGTACAGAAAAAAGTCTTCGTCAATATCAGTGAAAAAATTCTTAACTTACGATTTGAAACACGACGAGCAGAATAGACTGAGCCAAAGGCACCGGAACCGACTTCTTTACGAAACTTATAGTTATCCTTATGGATAGGAATTATTCGACCCTCCAACATCATGTTTTGAATAGTGTAACGCCAATCATCAGGTAATGGAACTAGCTGATTTTCAGCTCCTGTTTTACAAAAAAAAAACAGCTTTTTTCTTCAAAAAAATGAATAAGAATTATCAAGAAAATATCATACCAGGACTCATTAATATGGATTCTCCTAGACCCATTGGTGTTATACTAATACCAGAAAAACTTGACGCTCCTGAAAAAGATGATTTAGCAAGTGTAAAAAATAATGTTGTTTGTGAAAAATAATTTAAGGCAAAAAACGAACGAAAGCAATATGTACAAACAGCAAAGGTAAGAAGAAAACGTGACAAGAGACCAAAAAAATAATTATCATTTTCATTTATCATGACTTTATCATATATAATTGCTGCATATGCCTTGTATGCCTACGCATTACTGGAAAACAAGTATTTTTTAAAAACAAAGATTCATAGCACGCTGTAAAATATTATCTTAGAAACCTTTTAACATATAATTAAATATATAATAACTTAACGTAGTTTTCACTCTATTTGGTAATCCTTATAAATTATCATCATAAAATTAAAATAAATCTATTATATATTTTGTACTAGTGTCATATTGCTTAATCGATTAGTTGAAATTGTTGCATATAATTCATCACAGATGTAAAGACTCTATGATTTGACTTTTATTTTTATATTCTCTCATGTTTTTATTAATTTCTTATATCTTTTATTAACTGGTACGATAGTTCATTATATTCTTTTTTTTTGTTCTGTACTTCCTTTACAATTTTGTCTAGTTACTATTACTGTGTTCAAATAGGAAATTGTTATTTGCTAGTTGAATATATTTTATATTAAGAGAAATTTGTACAATTTTCTACATTAATCATTTTTTTGTTGTTGAGAATTTGAATGAAAACAAATTGATTTACACAAGGCGTAGAATTCGATTCATTATTGTCGAAATCAAAATATCAATAACGTTAGTTTTTACCCGATACGTATTGATAATTATTGAATAAAATCAAGAAAAGTAATGACGAGTAAAGATCATGAAGATTTTTATACCTAGCCTGTTGCATTAAGGGTTACCGTTTCTGATATGTTTCAAAATCAGAGTTTCGCATAGAGTGAAATCCTTATTATTGAACATCTCTCATATATGAACACCTGTCTAGCACGAATTTAGTCAAGACTGTGGGTGGAATGAATGTTCGTAAACTTTCTGAACTAATAATCATCTGAATGGAAGTACAGATAGAAAAAACTTTTTGTGAAACAAAAGATTATTCTCCTGTTGGTATACGTTCTGCCCAATAACAATTTGGACGCGCTTCTGGAAAAATTCCTGGCTACGCTCCTGCTTCCTACTCTGAACTTGAACATTGTATTTGCAGTTCCAGCTACGATTTCAATCTCTAGTAAATGAATGCATGTGCATTTTTTTCTTCCTCTACTGTTTATCATTTCTGGATAATGCACTATAACTACTGTTCATTGTTTGTTATAACTGTACATTCAAGGAGCAGCAATGACATCACAATATCCCATCTTACATTAGATGATAAATTTCACTTAATTCATTATTACAATGATAGTAATGATTCATCAGAATGTGAATTAGTTGAAAACTTAAATCTTTCACTTGGTTTTGAATCCAATATTTTAAAGCGAAAAGAAAAGTATATTTAACTGATTATCAAATAAACCAAAACCAAAGTATTGAAGCTATTAGCACAATTCTTGTGAGCTTAACATGTAAGACACGATATAACTGCTGTAACTAATTACAAAGAATTGTTTTATTCTATCTATTTTGAGACACATTTTTTCACCATTCTTTTACTTAATCCTCAAGTACTGCAACAAGAAAGTAGTTCATATATTATCATGAGACAATCTCCTTAAACGGTCTGTGACGAGGAAAGGATAGGAGGAAGAAGAAGGTGAACCCGAATTTCTCCCTCTATACTTCAATACTCCATTGAGATCGGATTTCACAAAAGTTTTACAGAATGAATGTGCATTGACTACGATATAGATATATAACACTAGATGGTGATACATAATGATAGAGAGACACAAAAAGAAAACTATATTTCAATGGATAACATGGTAGTAGAACGATAAAACTAGAGACAGTTATGTGATGGAAAATGAGCATTAACGAATTAAAAAAAACAAGTCTGATTATATAGGTATAAAGTATATAGCTAGGGACGTCCACCTTTTGTACGATCTTGTATGAACGTGAAAGGTCCTATATGAACGCCAGAATCTATTATTGATCTTACTTTCTGATTGTTTTCACCGAGCCATTCTAACATTTACGTATTGATCTGTTTCTTATTCTCATATCTTTGACTTGTCGATTTCTGCTTTATGTTTCATTTTGATCATCGTACCATTATAGGTCTAATATCAAAAAAAAGAAATTTAAAAAAATGTTTCATTAAAGAACATCTATTATATTGGAATCAAATAGCTATCTTCAATTAAACGACAAATAAATAAGCAGCAAGATATGAATTAGTTTACAAATTGATTTAGCACTATAAACAATTCTACTTAGGTATATGACGTGTTCGTATTAACATATTGTATAGATGATGTTTTCAGACTATTTAACACGCATGAAATGCGAACATTAGTTAACGCATGTAATACGTTTTTCTCATATATTCATTGTAATCCTCTAATAGTCATCATGACATGAAAAATTCTACCGGAAAAAGATGTATTTTATGAAACCCTTGGTAATTATTTATTTTGCTGACACTAAGTATCAGCTACCTCTCACAAATTAAGTATATATGTGGAATTTTGACTTCCTTCTATATTCATATCGATATGTCAATCTTAATTACTATCATCATCTCATAGATAATAGTACAATAAAATAGATGAACAATTGCGGAATCAGAAACTTGTTCTTTATAACTTCTTATATGAAAATTGTAAAACTATTTTATTCAAATCAGTTTGAAAAATAAATATTTATCATAGAAAAAATTTCATTCTTTTTTTAAACTAATTTTACTTTTGTGTACAACTGCAGTATTTATTAATAATAAATTCATTTTATTTCTTCTTGTAAAATACAAGAGAACTCTCAGTAATCTGAAAAAAGACATAATTAAAGACGAAATAATAGACCTTAATTATACTTAGTCTAAATTTGATGCATGCATTAAAAGAATTCTATAAATATATATGAATAATTTACATATGAAATTCATAAGACTGAACAATAATTGTGACCAGAAAATGGTTTTTGTTTTTAAATGAGAAAACATTAAAAAAAAATACGGCAATTATGCTTCATAAAATGACAATAAAAAGAGTAAATTTTTACAGTTTATTCATTTATATCTGATTTATATAGGAAGTTCATCATGTATGAATGATAAAAGTATACTAATAAATTAAATTTTCTTCGTATCATATTCATTTCAATGAACATTCATCGTTTACAACTTAATAAACACATTCAAATTTATCATATCAATAAAAAATTTCATTTATTTAAAAAATTGTAGAAAAATGAAATTAGATTGCTAATATAAATGATATTGACTATCAAATAAAAATAATTCATTAAAGAACATCTATCATATGAATTGCTTAAAATTAACTTTTAAACAATTGATTTATTTGAATCTATGATACAATAATCTTTACATTTAGTCTCTTTATCTCAATAAATGCTTCAAGCTCTTGTCATGTGTATCGTTCTTCAACCTTAGTATGAGACTATTTATTTACTTTGAATATCCGTTCAATGAATTTATTCTCTGCTAAAAATGTCTGTGTAATATATTTTATATTTGTCAATCTCAAATTAAAAATGTTCATATCCGACAATCAGAAAGAAAAAGATTTTGAAAAAATAAATATAAAATGTACAGGGAGTCCCAAAATTATAGAACCACCCTTTATTTTTGAAAATCTTCAGCAAAAATGAATAGCTAGATCAAATCTAAATAGTGATTTAGATAGCCCTTGAAATTCTCCATCGAACATGGTATAGACTAAAATTTGAAAAGAAACTTTATGAAGAGAATCGTCTCGAAGAACCGTGTCACTGTAAATTCAAGTTTTCGAAAAGTTTGAAAAAAATACTTTTAAATACAGCCATCTGAAATAGCAAAAAATTCTGAGCAAAATGAAGGGTTGCCCAGATCTGCATGATGTTTCGTTGCAAAGTTATAAGCATCAGAAAATTCGAAAAATTGTATAATTTATCAAAAAAA